CGCTAGTGTCTGCACATGCGCACCAGGGCTGTCTGGCATTCGCCAACGTGGCTATCCAGCTGACCAATCAGATTCAAGGCCGTGTCAGACGTGTGCAGGCTTGAGACGCTTTGACGCGCCGCCTGCTGGGCACCTGGGACGGCGCTCTCGCGGCACTGGACGTGCTATTGTCCGGCTGCTAACTCTCTCTCCAACCCCTCTTCCCGTTATTCTGCACAGGATAAACAATCCTTCCAACTGGCGCCCGCCTTCTCTTTCCATTCATGACCGGTGCCGAAGGTCGTGGTAGCATGGGCTTTCACCAACGGCCTAGCCTGCTACGATAAGGCATGTTGTAAACTCTACAAGCAACATTGGTAAATGCAGATACACGAGGTCTTACGGACAGGCATTTCATGGTCTTAAAAGACCTCATAATTACAAACTTTTGAAACCGGATTATACTTTCCCTTCAAGTATAAAATTTGGAGAAGACATAATTTTCTACAAAATCAGTAAAAGAGTCAATATTTTTATGGATACGTTCTATGCGATATATTTGAATTTCTAAGGGCACCGCAAATGAATGATAAAAATCATGCTACATAGGTAGTATTTTTTGCACAGTGTGGTTTCTGCAGGCAGTCGAAAAGAAGTTCCTTCGAAAGTCAGCATCCTGAAGTAACTGGATTATCATGGGATTATGCGGCACAGTGGTTAATATATAAAACCCACGTAAGTAATTTTTTTCAGGTCGAAAACACATTTCAGTTAGCACATCTACAATAAATAACTGAAGATTCAGAAAGCATTTGTCGTGCAGCTGCAGAATATCGGCGAAACACGCGTGTATGGACTTTTGGCTAGTACATGTGCTGTTGGTATGGAATCACCTTGTCCTAAAGGATTTGTCTTCAAAAACACGTCTCATTGTGACCCCTTATCGAAGAAATGAAGTGGACTGCAAAAACCCGGGTAGCGGGAAGGGCATTCAGCGTGTGCTGCAGTAAGTCCTCTCGTTGTTACGATGTAGCCCATTCCACAAGCCGGGCAGCGTAGGCGCACTTTGCAAATTATGTGAATAAATTGAAGAGCGAGCTGTGTGCTTGCCGTAAGAAGGCTGAATCATCGTTGTTGTGCGGGCTTTCGTAAAGCCAAGTTCTTCAGTTAAGATGATATAAATGCCACGGTTTTCGTGTAAGACACAGATGGACAGAGGCATACATTTCAGAGAGACTTGTGAATCTTATGTACAGTAGGTAGACTAACTCAGGAAATGTCAACCGAAATTCCGAAATGCGTTTTCTTTTAGAAAAGGCTAATTAAGTAAGGTTGTAAAACTAGTCAGTTTGCAGCATAATTGTATAATATTTAAGTTACCTCAGGATGCCGGCTTTCGATTTAACTTCCTTCCGGCTGCATGCAAAAACTGCACTGTGTAAAAAACGACTATTTATGCAGCAGGAATTTTTTCTTACTGATTTTCGATGCCTCTGAATGCTCAATTATATTTCATTGAAAAAATGCATAAACTATTCATTCTTTTGTTCATTTGGTAGATATTTACGACTGCTTCTAATTTTATACTCGAAAGAGGGACATAATATTGTTTAAAAAAGTTTCTAATTGTGGAACTTTTAAATACCGTGAAATGGCCGTTCATAAATCGTCATGTCACTGCTTTTACCAATGCGGTGTGTAAAACTAAAAATGTGGGTCAAATCCACTGCTACATTTTATGAAGACTATGTGGTCCCTTTATTATCGGGGAGAAATATGTGGTTTTCCGTACGCGGAAAATATACGGATTGTAGTTTCGAAACCCTGCATCCAAGTCTATCGGTAGAGCTGTTTCAAAATTATTCGGGAATTGGAAAAGTTTTTGAAAACTGAATTATACCTTTCCTTCGAGTATAAGATTGGAAGAAGACGTAATTATCTACCGAATGAGCTAAAGAATGAATATCTTTATGCATGTTTTCCATGAGAAAATTTTGTGCTATATAAGTAGTCATTTTTCACGGAGTGTAGTTTTTGTATGCAGCTGGGAGGAAGTCCATTCGAAAGCCGGCTGGGATTATTTTGCCGGCCGACTAGTTTTACAACCCTACTTAATTAATTTTTTCGAAACGAAAACGCATTTCGGAATTTCTGTTGACATTTTACGAGTAAGTTCCCTACTGTACATACAGACTGTCAAATATTTTCCCACGGTTTATCCTACAGTCGCCTGGCTCGCGCAAATTCAAAAGCAAGCTTTGAAGTTCATTCATAATATTGCGTCTTTTTTCTATAATGATGTAAACGGCACAGTTCTGAAGAACTTCACGGCATAGTTTAAGTCGAATTCCCCTATAATTTTTTCATTATTATCGGCTCGAAAATTATACATGCAACACATCTCATAAGTTGTCAATTCCAAATACCATAATATGCGTCTTATTTTTGTCCCTAAATTGTGCCTTCAATTTTGTTTTCCTACACCCCATACCGAAGTGCCACTCTTCCTTCCTCTCTTTAATCAACTCAACGTGTAAATCAAATGCATCCCTGTTAATCATAAGAACTTACATATGATCAAAGGTTTCGTAAAATAATATTCTTGTCATTGGGAGATGACCGGCGGCAGCTTGAGTCGAGGAAGCGAGTTATTAATAGAAGCATTTTTCCAATTTTTTTGAGCCGAAACTTGTCACTTGACATCCAGTTGTTTAAGCCACTTGGAAAGCATAAGACCTTGAAGAAGTGGGCACGATCGCAGGGACAAGGATTTTATTCGCCTGGCTTTTCGGATTCCTGCTCGAACCCACCATCAGAGACAATAGCCGATACGGGTGGTTCATGCCAAAGGGACTGCCGTATTTGTAGGAAGCCGTCACCATGCCACCGCATACCTATATTCACAGCTCCCCCCTCCGTCCGGGATCGTTGCATTTGGTGTGATGACTGTTTGATGGCCGACATTCGCGTAGTTAATCGTTGCGATTTCATCACGACTGTTGGATGTTGGCGCGATGATTGCTTGACAGTGTGAATCAGCGTCGGAATCAATGTTCGCCTGTGCGCTCCCTGCGGGACTAATTACTCCGCCTAGACGAATACTCAGCATCGTAAGAAGATAATCAAATTTTTGTCCCAGTACTGTGATGGACGTCATCTTCTAATGCGTATGCGGCCAGTTCAGTTTGTGACCCTTATCCCTAAAATGACGACAGTTTTACGTCGGAGACGACACATTTCGAAAATAAATTGCTGTCTAAAGCGAAGAACAGCCAGTTAAGGAATCCTGTGATTTATGCAGTACCAGGGTACATGTCTACTGGGATATTCACTAATATCTATTTGTTTTCGTAGAGCGCTCAGTTTTGCAATAATTCTTCGAGACAAACAGCATAGTTATGGCTAACTGAATATTCGAATTAACAGCTCGTAGGGCGGAGTCTCCCCATTTAAACGTACAAAGCCCCATCGGGCTGTTCTTGACCCGGTGGCAGTTATTTTTGGCGTTTGCCTGGGTAATGGTGGGATTGTGGGACCCCAGGAAGGTAGCAATTCCGAAAATATACCCTAAAATTCAGTGCGACTGCAAACATCACTTTTTACTTGCCGTTACCATTGGTTAAAGTTTCCTTGTTGTACTGACTAAATATAAACTTACAAGCGGTGGTTTACTCAAAGCCGGTGTTTCTTTGAAAATTGCCTTTTCGCCTATTCTTTAAGTTGTCGTGCTCACTTTCCTTGCCAAATTACAGCGTACGATAAGTCTTCGGCAGAACTTTATCTAGTTTCTATGTCTTCTTGCATTCCGCCTGCTCTCTATTGCCCCCCATTCAACGTATGACACGGTTCAGAGGCTGGTTCAAGTTAGTTGGGGTCCTTAACCCTACCGATGCCTCTTCCTGTGTGTTTATATAATACAGGGCAGTTTTTGGTAGCAAAAGTCGCTTTCACTATCGAGTAGCTTATTAAGCATAACAGTTTTTGTCAAAACAGACCGAAAAGCTCAGAGAATACTACTGAATTGGTAACGCCCGTCTCAGCAAACGGGCACCTATCAGTGGAACCAATGACACTACCTAAACGAGCTTTAGAGCTATAAGTAGTTTACGGGACACAAGCAAACCAGCGCCTTCGTCCGAGAACAACGGATATAGTCAATTTTATAACACCAGGTGACTCGTTTAGAATATGCGTTCGGATCCTTTCGGCCGCATTTTCGCTCTGCAGACGACTGTCCAACCACCGTGACCGACCATGTCCACCGCCTGCTCCACACATTGATGGGAGTGGGCACGACGAATTGAGCGCGATTTCTTTTATAAGAATAAATGACTTGCGCAGCATCAACCGCACCCCCTCTCTTCCGCCCCCACCTGAGCCCGGTGTCAGGTGGAATTGCCATAAATGCCACTTTAAAAACGACCCGTTGGAGCCTGACTCTCAACCCACCAGTCCGCCACTTCACACAAAAACACCCAACTGGCCAGATATGAGGAAATACACTGATTGACCCATTGACACTGTCTACTGGTTGGATGTCCCTGGCTCTAAAGGTCATGATATGTTGGACAAGACTCCAAGACCCGTTTCCGATAACGGCCAGCATTTCCCGAACAACCTAGTAAATTCACCAGCGTGAAATCACGCTTGGTTCCCCTGTCGCCATTCCGAATGGTCACGGTTAGGAGGAGGGTTTATTTCGGGAACTCGTGGACCCAGCTACTGTAGTCATGTGTAAAAACGTCCGATCGCGACAGGCGCCGAAGACAGCAACCAGATGGTTCGAAGGTACAAGTGAGCAAACTCTGATTGACCTCACGAAGAGAGGTTGTATTTTCACAAATGATCAGGAGAACCGCGAACAGCATATACACAAACGCAGAGGAATACCAAATACACTGAGGTGAATGAGCAGTAATGAATAAGCTAAAATCAGTTTTATCTGACGCGAATGCAAATCAGGACAATTCCACAGGAGGTTGAGTGTTCCCTGTCCGAAATTGGGGCCGGAGTGGGTGCAATCAGAGCGGACAGACGCCCAGGACGATATTCGGAGTACCGACAGGGAACGCCACCGGAGTTCCCACTGAATCCTCCACCGAGAGATAGACATTTCGCAGACAGCCCGTGAAGGGTGGCACTGGATTGTTCCAATTCAGATGAGCCAGTTTCTCCGGTGTCATTACTGTGGAGGAGGAGAAGACAGGCGGCAGTCATAAAATGACAGTCAAAGAAGTATTCTGTGATTACTAGCACAAAAGACTGGTGTGGTTACCGTTGTCGTAGGCATAGTAGATAGCCTCCAGGCTGGCGAAGGGGGTTTCTAGCACGTTGAAGTCATATTCGCCCTGTCTCTTGACGGTCATCACGGCACCCATGTCGTCCGAGGTGACATCAACTTCAGAGAAGTGCCAAGCGGTGGGTTCGTATTCGCTGACGGGGAAGCTGACTGACGCAGTGACGCGGCCTGTCTCATCGCTAGCTACAAGCTGCAAGGAAGAGGGGAAGCAGGGAGTATACGTGTGATTCACATTTTTGAATCACGTCGGGGTCACCAGTGTAAGCAATAAACCAGTCTATCGCGAGTAGAATTGGGATAAAACAAAACAGTCGCAGAAATGCAGAGTGATGATAAATTACTACTGCTGGCCCTGTCTCAATGTCTCCGGACGATTTTGATTTTAACCTCAGCGCATCAATAGGTTGCATTTTTAAATCACGTCGGGGTCACCAATATAAGCAATAAACCGGCCTGTCGCGAGTAGAACTGGAAAAAATCTGCTACAATCTGCAACTAAGAAGGTGAGCAGGGAGTATATGTGTGATTCGCAAGGAAAACTGAGAACGCGGCTATTGCCGACCCTGTCTTAATGCACCAAAAGGTTGCATTTTTAATTCACGTCGGGGTCACCAATATAAGCAATAAACCGGTCTATTGCAATTAGAATCGGGGTGAAAAAAGCAGTCGCAGGAATTAAGAGTGATGATAAATTACTCTTGACCGTTCTGACAAAGTTTTTTACAGGTCGTATTTTTGGCGCACTGAAACAAGGTGCCTCTTCAAATCAAAACCTTCAAGAGCTGTGTTTAGTGGCTGTAACTATCCGGATTATTGGACTTAAGAAAGTCTAAAGACGTGTTCTACAGGTCTCGGTATAGATCCTACTTACACAATCTGCCAATCTCAAGCCTATCGGCTGCTCGAACCAAGGCAGTTTGATTGGAACGTCTGCAGTGAGTAGTATTGTGCCTTACAAACGAGCACCAGTCCCAAACATCAGCGAGAGCGGCTGAATGAGCTAGGTCACGTTACTAACTTCTGGCAAACAGAGGACATACGGGATGTCTCTCTAGAATCTATGAATGTCATTTTAACGATGTTTAGAGCAACGTCAGCACTCAGGAGGGATCTTGTAGTGATCCTTCCCCGTGGCCTGCTGCGACATTGTGTCTCCTTCTGGCGCATGTCTGTACGTACGCATCGGCAGCAATCGTTTTTCCCAACATTCAGAGGCTCCGTATGAGGTCCTATCCACGTCCGACCAATGACTGCAACCGGGATGCTATCTATGCTCTTCGGCCAACCACAGCTACGTGAAGTGTCCAATCGACTCATAGGCTGACGCTGACATGTCCGCACTCGGGACGCTCGGATGCCTGGCCCTGCGACGCACGAAATGTGACTCTCCTCCGACTGTCAATCGTGTTGTGGCTGCGTTCCGCAAACACGTGGTTCTTTGGCGGTTGTGTCTTCAGGGTCAAAAAGGCGCCAAATCAAGTCCTGACTGGCAGGAAAAGAGGGAATACGGTGGCCACTGGCGAGGCGACGACCTGTGAGTTGCACTGCCTTAGAGGTGTTGTCTTCAAGCGGGAGATGTACGGCTGCGAGCTGAGGTCAGTTGACTATCTGAAGCTCAGTGTACCTGAGATAAGGTGAAGTTATGGCAGTCTGTTTCCGCCACCGCCAGCGCGGCCAGTCAGTCGATCGTCCGAGCCGTTCGTAACTTAGCATTGGCGTAGCAAGAGCCGGAGACCAATAATCGTTGGGTACTTCGTTGATTGGTTGGAAGCGGACAAATCCCAGGCGCGTGCACACGCTTCGCCACGGGACCATAAAGTTCGACGGCTGTCATTTGCCTGGTGAGACGACTTGTTTTCAACGGCCTGCTCGACTGCCTGTACGCTTCTCCGCCTCAGTAAGGCCTGTTCAATCAATTCTGCCTCCCTGCCTGTGGATCTGGTAATCATCGCGTTGTCGACCATCACAATTTGGAAAAGGCGGCTTTGCAGAAGGCGCCTTCGCGTTGAACTTGCCTGGCTTCGGGCATTGGTGGCACGCCCGTGGAACCGTACACTACTAAATTCCACATAACCTGTATCCTGCGCGTCGAAGTTTATCAGAAAGGGCTCCAGGCGGCCCTACTTCCCAAAACATCCGTTTGGCACGCTGTGTAGGCATTTTCCCTGAAAATGAGCGTGTGCTCATTTTGCACCATGATCTGCGAGTGCTTATCAGAAGAACCCGAGGGAGATGCTGGGCAGATCAATGCTCAACAGGAGGTCACGAATTCAAACCAGTTTTCCGATTGGTGGTCCACAAAATCTTCTGATGTTATCTGACCTGTTGGCTGTTTTGATGGATATCCACTCGGATAGATGGGATGCCCTTGAAACGCCTGATCTGTGACAAACAGCGTCGCCCGAACATAAGTTTCCGATCAGCGAGCGCGTGTTTACACCAAGCAGTAGTTCGCGATTCGCTCGGTCGGGCTCCATGAAGATTAGATGAAAAGCGAAACTTGTTTACTCCGAAATAGTTGCTCAGCGGTGTGCCTGAGTTAAGAGCTAAACCCGAAAGGGCTGTTGTCTCGGCCTCTCCGCGACTTCTTCGAAATAATTATACGGTAGCTGTGCTAACTCATGAAATGTCAACCGAAATTCCGGAATTCGTTTTCGTTTCGGAAAGAATAATTAAGCAGGGTTATTAAACTAATTATCATGCAGCATAATTCCCTAATCATTCGCTTACCTTAGGATGTCGGCTTTCGGATGAATCTCTTTCCGGCTGCATGCAAAAACCACACTTGGCAAAAAATGACTACCTACGTATCATGCATTTTCCTCATTAATTTTCGATGCCCTTAGAAATTCGACTATATTTCATGGAAAGCATGCATAAAAATATTCATTATTTTGCTCATTCGGTAGAAACGTACGCCTTATTCCAATTTTATACTCGGAGGAAGGGTATAATTCGGTTTCAAAAAGGTTTCCAATTGAGAAATTTTTTAATACCGTGAAATGGCCGTTCATAAAATGTCATGTGACTTGTTAAGTTAACAATATGGCTCAAATCCACTGCTAAATTTTATGAACCCCATATGGTCTCCTCTTAATACCGTAGAGAAATGCCTGGTTTGCTGTACGCGGAAAATGTATAGCTTGTAGTTTGAAAATTCTGAATGCAAGTGTAACGGCGGGTCGTGTTCAAAACTATTCGGGAATTGGAAAAGTTTATGAAAATCAAAGTATACCCGTCCTTCGAGTATAAGATTGGAAGCAGACGTAATTTTCTACTGAATGAGCAAGAGAGTAAATATTTTTATGCATACTCTCCATGAAATATAATTTGATTATCAGGGTGTCGGCTTTCGAAAGAACTTATTTTCGGCTGCATGCAAGATCTATACTCTGCAAAAAATGACTACTTAAGTAGCATGCAATTTTATCATTGATTTTCGATGCCCTTGAAAATTCAATTATATTTCATGGAAAACAGGCATGAAATTATTCATTCTTTTACTTATTCGGTAGAAAATCACGTCTTCTTCCAATTTCATACTCAAAAGAAGAGTATAATTTGGTTTTAAAAAACTTTCTTAATTTTCGAATAATTTTGAACCCGACCTGCTGTTACACTTGCATTCAGGGTTTCAAAACTACAAGCTGTATATTTTCCGTGTACGGAAAACCATGCATTTCTCTACGGTGTTAAGAGGAGACCATATGAGGTTCATAAAATTAAGCAGTGGATTTGAGCAATATTGTTAACCTTACAAGCCACATTTGTAAATGCAGATACTTGACGTTTCATGAACGGCCATGTAAAGGTATTAAAAAATCTCACAATAAGAACTATTTTAAAACCGAATTATACTCTTCTTTTGAGTATGAAATTGGAAGAAGACGTGATTTTCTACCGAATAAGTAAAAGAATGAATAATTTCATGCCTGTTTTCCATGAAATATAATTGAATTTTCAAGGGCATCGAAAATCAATGAGAAAATTGCATACTACATAAGTAGTCATTTTTTGCAGAGTATAGGTGTCGCATGCAGCCGAAAATAAGTTCTTTCGAAAGCCGACACCCTGAGGTAACTGGATCATTATAGATTTATGCTGCATCATGATTAGTTTTGCAACACTACTTAATTTATCTTTTGGAAACGAGAACGCATTTCGAAATTTTGGTTGACATTTCATGAGTTAGCACATCTACTGTAGTTCTACAACTCTAATTAAGTAATCTTTCCGAAACGAAAACGCATTTCCGAATTTCGGTTGGCATTTCATGTGGTGGCCCACCTACTGTACATGGAACTTAGCGATTTACCGATGCTGTGCTCGCACAATAGCCCCTCCCCCAGTGTCTGTGCTATCACGTGGGCTGCTTACGGAGGCAATTTACCAAAGTGTCACGAAGACGGCAACTACTGTAAAGAAAGACGAAAAAAGACGTCCGGACACCAAATATGCGACTTTCTCCCATTTATGTTATCCTGGGAGGTAACTTACGGAAGCCGATAGATGATCAGCAATTTACCAAGGCGTCATGAAGACAGGAAGCTACCGTAGCGGCAAAAGACGTCAGGACACCAAATATACAACTTTCTCTCATCAACGCGAACTCAAAGACCTTAGTCGGGGCTGGCCGGTCTTGGTGAGGGTAGAGGGGAGGGGGGAGAGAGATGTTGCTTTAAAAAGCGGCAGTCTTACCTTTCGCCGTTTCAGGTGGATCCAGAGACGAGCTTCGCTCTCATCGGCGGGCGATCGGAAGACCAGCACAAACAAGCTCACTTCGCTGACCTCTCCAGGATTGTAGAGCACTTCAAAAGATAGTCTCCAACGAAGTTTAGCATTGTTGATAGGTTGGACTAGAAAGGGACGTGAAATATACTGCAATGCAGGCTTCGATAGCACTGGCAGAGAATAGTGTATTCGTATTTGTCCCTGTTCTGTTGGCTAATACGCAAGTACTCGGATCTGCAAGGTTGCTAGCAAGATCTGACGTAGATCGGCATAGGGTTGGACTTACGAACTTCCGACACTAGAACACCTTGCTCTACACCAGTTATTTATCACGCGTACGAAGTTTTTATCTATCGGTGGAAGATGAACTCCGGAGACCGCATGAACTGAGGACTACCCCAATGACATGTAGGTGGCGGTTACTGGAATAACCCCTAGTAAAGGCTAAATTCGAAAATCAGAATCCTTTAGGTCTGAAGAATAGGCAGTCGTTGACGATTTGGTGGTTAAACCTTTAGCTTTGGTTGGTCACGCATATGTCAGATTGATTGCTCTCAGAAACTGGCGACAGTCATAGGTCTGCTATGCAGTAAATCTTAACCTGCCACAGTCCGGCATAATTCCGAATTTTCAAACTGGTATGCTGCATCAGCTAATGGGATGCCTTCTGACCAGATAGCTACTGCTAAACTGAACATCTCAACAACTGGCTGGCTGTGGTTCGCGTGCTCGAGTTTGGCCTGGCGGGAGTCGATTGCATAGACATGGGCAGTCTCCTTTGCGAAAACGACAACTACCGCTGAACTTACTAACGACGTGCCCTATAATAAGGTTGAAGTCGCTGACAACTGCATAAGTATTCGAAAAAAATCACTCGCGTAATGACGAAGTGACTCTTCTGACGAGGGGCGTTTCCAAGGCTACATTGGCCAGGCTACCGACAAACAAGTGAACATGCACTCTCTCCCGTCGCCCTGTTTCAAGCGAAGACGGTCAGTGCTCTCAAACAACGCATTTATAATTTTCCAGCATGGCGAGAACAGTGCGCATCAGGTGAAGACTCGGGTTACAGGCGCGTCACCAAATAGTTATCCAAGCAAGATCACAATAAGTACATATATGCATGCTACCCACTTTGTTTTAGTAATATATATATGTAGTATATCGTCTGGACGACATGGTGAACGAGCAGCCCACCAGTCCGCGACTTAAAACTTCGCCCTTCTAGCTCATGATTGCAAATCCTCCACGACTATATCGAGGACACCAACCGGGACTGCTAAGTGCATTGGATTTATTCGATTTATAAAAATTCTGGGAAGTCCGGAGGATTAATGGAATCAGGGCTTACAGTTCATCGGGATCAGTCTGCGATGTCCTGAGTTTAGGAAACTGGCCATCTGAGGCATCACGTGAGCAGCGTTGGAGTCCAGAACAAAGCACTGAGGACACTTGGGTCGCTTGGACAATGCAACGTCGAAGTTGTGTCCGGCCAAGTTGAATTCATCCACGCAGCCAAACAGGCCCACGAGGGGCACCTTATGGGAGACGCAAAAATGTGTTTCACAGTTCCCAGATTCCACAGGAGAAGCGATGAAACACAACGCATCCTGGCTGTAGGCCAGGAGAAACTACTTTCAAACTCACCTCAGTTGCACCCGCCGTCAGTTTTATTGTCTTGCGATTTGGAAGACCGCCAATGAACGCGACAACCGGAAGTCCCCATTTGTGGTCCCCATCAATCCAAACCTCATGGTAGTCAAGTAACATCTGAACGAAGGAGGATAAGCGATGGGAAATGCGGCATTATTTATTAGAAAACTATAAATATGCCCCAAAGTTAAACGTTATATTAACATAAATCTTTTTTACAATTAAGCTGACATTTAAATGGAGTGTCGAGCCGTAGAGTAGTCCCCAGGAGACGGTATCGCCAGTTGCGAAGAAAAAAACACCTACAGCAGAGTGGCCGTCGTATTTCGTCTTGCAGTCCATCCAGGATGACGACTACAACTCCCATGTAACTTTGCGGAGGGCGGCCTCCGTAGTTAAGGCGGGCGTGCCTGCAGTTACTTGCTCGATGACACGCTTACCTTAAAAGGAACTTCTGTTGCGTCAACGCCTGTATGACAGCAGATTGGCGAAACCCGAAACAAGTGATCTGGGCTGAGTGGAGGTTATGACTGATCACTCCCGTCAGTGAATATTCTCACGTCCTTTCTATTCATAAAAACCAGGCATGTAACGCTTCAACCCCTTCGTTTCCGACGCCTACACCGGTTCCAGAGCGACCTTCAAGGACAGCCAATCACAGACATCCACAAGTTCGCATATCATCCAATCAACTGGCCAAGTTAACACTGATCGATTCTCATACGACGATTCCTCATTCCCACTCGCATCCGTACGGAATACACAACCTCTACTGGCCTCATTCCGTCTCTTCTCCAAAACGAGCTTCGGCGGTGATTACTGTGGAACTGTGGATGCTATAGACGAATTGGTGGAGTCGCATTGCCGAGAAATCTTTACTGTGGGACAGGGGCTCGTGCGAGGTAAATCCTTCCAACCGTGACAGCAGCGCAAGTATCCCGCTACGTGGAGTGCAGGGGTATGTACGACCCAGAAGCGGACTTCAAATGCTGCGTGAATGGGTAAGATGAGGTTACGCAGCCGCTCCTGATGGACGCAATACTGTTTGGGGTTAGGGGTTAGGGCTTACGGTTAGGGTCTGGGGTTAGGGTAACTATTTCTCAACCACTTAAAGTACAACAACGGATCCTCAATGGCTTTTCTTTTGCATACAATTACTTGACCTCGTCGCCTGTTCTTCCCCCGGACCCACCTGTAAAAAGCCCTATCACTACCGGTCCCCTATTACAGGCGGTTGGGGTTTGTTTATCTTAGGCGCGGCTACAGAACCATATCTGACCCTTGAGTATATTTTGGACAATACAAAGCTCAGTCGGTAAACATTGTAGGGGGATCAGTAAACGTCCATGGAAGTCTTCTGTTTACGAAATATTATTACCAGATAAATGCAAGGATGACAACAGTTGGACGGTTCGTTGCCGACTATGTCCATCGTGTGCTTCAGAAGAGGGTGAGAGCAGGGACGGTGACTGGCATGGGAAGTAGTTTGTAGTGATATCGGACTTGCTCTGCATTTACTGCACTCTCGCCTTCCCCATCACCTGGACCTGCGGTTATGACCAGGTCGAAAACACCAGAAGCGGGGGCGTGCAGATGGCTGGCGCAACAGAGACCCGTACCTAGGTGTGCCACCCTATCCCCGGTACGGATCCCACCGAGTGGGAAAGCTATAGAGACCAAATAATGAAGGAGCCATTGGAGCCTGTCTATCTATCTTCCAGTGCGAGCTCCAAGTTATCCCTCCAATCGGAGGCCTTCAAGCTCATGGCTTTTAACATACCGTGAAAGATTCAAGTTTGTAAGGTGGCCTACAGTGCGGAATATGCGCTGTGACCGTCGAATTTAATGTCTCCTCCCATTCTTAGCCGGTCAGTTGACTGGTGTAGGGAATTGGCGCGGTGGCTGGCATATCTAGTGATCTTACCTGCGCGCGCCACACTCACGACCTGGCCCATCAAACACAAGCACCTGGATTTCACACAACGGGGGTTGAGCTGCGTACCTCCCACATGCGTGACAGTGCCGTAGGTCACATTAAGAAGGCGCCGCTTCAGCCTGGCTCTCAGCTCACCAGTCCGCCTGAGTGCGTGGTCTGAACTGAATCATCAGTTGGTAACCTTGTAGTGGCCCTACGCCGAGCGCCAGTCAAAACGCTGGGCCTCTCGCGAGTGTCTGCACGTACGCACCAGGGCTATCTAGCATTCGCCCACTCGGTATTCCAACTGACCAATCAGATTCAAGGTCGAGTCGGACCTACCCAGGCTTAAGACGCTTTTACGCCTTTCCTGACGGACACTTGGGACGTCGTTCTCCTGGCGTCAGAAGTGTTCTCGTCTGGCTGCAAGCCTTCCTTAGTTAGTCTGCACAGACTAAATCACCTTCCTAACTGGCGTCTTGCTCCCCTCTTTCCATTCGGGACCGAGCCTGAAGCTCGTGGTAGCCAGGGTCTCACATTAGGCCTAGGTTGGTGCGACAATCCTCAGGGCCAAGATATTCTCATTCGTTCTATCCATTCCTGTGCACCAGCCAACTGCCCGAGCCGGTCAATAAACTAGTGCTGAAATTGGGAGAGGCGGCCTGTCTGCGCGTACCACACACGCGACCTGGCTTTCATGCGCATATCTTAGGATTCCGCACAGGAAGTGGACTGCCCAGATTTCACATGTAGCAGAGGAACATTTGGAGAAGGAGTCGAATCTCGCACTTATTACTTACATGGGAGGTGCCTGCAATGTGTGGTATTTGGTGTTCGTGGTGGGTGCATTTGTTGGTAAACGAATGTGCGGTGATGTGGTCTAGACAGTTGGTATTTACCGCAGATTTCTGTGAAGACGCATGTGACTGAGTATGGAAATGCGATCGCTAAATGGGCGAGGGCAATGCGGGCAGTTAAAGCGATAAGGGCGAGTGTATGTTTGTCCTCTGGGCACTGGTTCACCAGTCCCCATGTGGCGGATTCGCAAGTGACCCACCAGGCCCATGCGTGAAATGAATGTGCGGCGGCAGCGTGAGCAGGGTAGATCAGGAGTTGCTGAGTCGGTTGGGAAGGTTATGCTGTCAGTAGTGACCACGTTTGTGGATGGGGAATTGGCTGGTTAGAGGATGGGAGAGTTCTTGGTTGTGTAGGGTATGCCTGGCGCGAAAAAGGGTGGTCGAGCGCCGGAACATTTTGTTTATTGTTCTGAGCTCTCGAATTCGTGCAGGAGTCCATCGTCAGAGATAATAGCACCAATCTGGTGTGTCGATGTCGCGCGGAATTCTGCTGCCGTGAATACCACGTGACCGAATAGACCCATACGGGGCTCCTGGCAGTGGTGTGTCCGGCTCAGCGCGAAAGGTTCGCAGGCGACCGGCCAGGCCGTTGCGTAAGGCGAATGTGCGCAATTATGGTACTTGCTAATACGGCATTGTGGAAGCCCACCTCGCTATAATTAACTTCCTCAGAAACTTATATATATATCAGTAAAAATGAAAAGTGTCTGGTCAGTGAACACCCCTACAACGTGAATAATACTTCTGTCACAACCAACAGGCCAACAGATAACACCTGTGGAGCATTGACATCCTTCTCGTGTTTGCTTTTTCCGCTCCATCATTTACCATTGCATTTAAGATGATTTACTGCGATACAGCTGCACCTAGGTCCTTTATTTGGTATCCCGCACTCGAGTCCACAGCACCGCGCAATTGAGCAGCCGGGATTGACCTCCGTCGGTTGAGATCGGGGATATGCGAAGCCAAATAAGAGTGATATTGCGGAACGGAGATGAATAAATCATACCCTTGTCCTGGTGGCCGTGACCATGCCGTCGGCGCCCACACTACCGCTCTCGGGGATGATCTCCAGGTAAGCGCAAATAAACTAAAACGAATCATTCCAGTCACTTACTTCTTCATGGGTTGTTCGTCTCCCATCCTTATTATCAACTGTTCTCCCACTTCTGCTACTTATTATACCCCCTAGTTGACTTCTATGGACTATAGATACTTATGCTACTACTTCCG